ATAACCTTACCTGTACTTTGTATTTATATAACAGTACTGATACACCAAAACGGTTTACTTCTCGAAAAGGGAATACTCAATAGCATCGCCACCACAATATCAGCTAGTTACTTGAGAATTCTTATCTTATTATATTATTAAATTATCGTTCGACCCTCTGTATTAAAGATGGATAAATGACCTGTGTACAATCTAAACTTGGCTACATGCATTGACAGGTAACACGTCTTCCTTTGCACAACTCTGAAGCCTTTTACATAAAAGAAACACCCACAGTTCTTCAATATGGTTCGCACTTAACATGTCCTCCTGGCGCAAAGCCTTCCATTAATCTGTTGTCAACTACCAGAGCACGTAATACGTTCCTTCTGACCACTTAACATAGGCTTATAAAAACTTAAGATAGTGTAATTGCGTCATATTGTGAATATTATATCAATTATTTATTTTAATCCGTCTGATCACAATATAATTTTATTTAAAATTTCTTATAATTAAGATAATAAAATATCATGTTCCGAAATGTAAATCGATCAATCGATAAGGAACATGAATTATATTTTATTATCTTAATTATAAGAAATTTTAAATAAAATTATATTGTGATCAGACGGATTAAAATAAATAATTGTTATAAAAACTTGTAAAATAATCTTCCATTTCTTTGATGGTAAAATCTAACATTATTTAAATATTATCGCTGTAATTTCATCTATGTCAACTTCATTAAAAGATCTTTACGTATAGTAATTAGCATACATTGAGTTATTTAATACAAAAATTATCATTGTACAGTTTCATTTCTTATTAACTTACTGTTTTTGTCGTCTTTAAAATATTAAATGCTATGCAGTCTTATGAAAATAAATGTTCAAGGTGAAGATGGTCAGATATTTTAATCGAAACATGTGAAACGAAAGAAATGGATATAAACTGCTTTAATGAAGTTGTGTACGCGGATTCACATGTCTTGTGAATCCTACAAAGTGAAATATTGTATCCATAAATGTAAAGTTTTTCTTGCATCAGTAAAAGTGTATGGGGATCAATTAAAATGCATTTTTAATCTTGGCTTTTGAATGAGTGATCCATGATCCATGAAAGCCTGTAACTACCGCCCGATACTGAAATGCAGGGGATGCGACAATCGAGGCACGCGGGGTTAGATTTTGGAAGCGTTCAGTGAAATTACGAAAATTTCGGAGCGAGATAGAAAACTTTATGTTATGCTCTTTGGTGCCAGTGGCATTATAACACGTGAGTGGCAACTGTAGGGATATTGATCTTTTAATTTAAGAATTGTCGTAAATGTTAACAACACAGATTATCGAAGACCAAACGAAGTGAGTGTGCACTGTTGCTAAAATCCTTCGTTGAATGGTTGATGTCTGTTCACTTGAAGAAGAAAGATTATGTACTCTTTCTGAATACTAAATTTGCTTTGTGGCGTTACAGCCGAATAGGGACTTTGGCCTTCTGCCGAGGTAATCCCTAAATATTTATTAAGACGACAAAACGTTTGCTGTTAAATATAAATAATAAAATTATGTAATGAATTATTCTCGGGATAGAAGATGGTTCTCGAAACATTGGTGTTTTCTGCATTAAACCACCTTAGACAGCTGGTAGCCCGAGAAGAATTCATTATACTTAGTCGCCGTGAAAGCTTCAGATCATGCAATGTAGTATGCTATCGTTTACTTGAATTTAAGATTTTTGAAATCATTTTCGGGAGGGGTCAGTCAGTATGTTGACTAACTAACGGTTCTAGGTATGTGTAGGGAGAATCTGCCTTCATCACTGCGTCCAAACCGGCTCTGGTGCCCACCTGAAGGTAGGGCCTGGGCGTTGGCTACTATTAAACTTAATAAAATGGAGGGGGAACATTCCGGCTAGCGAAAAATTCGATCCGGTTTGTGGTGTCCTTGGATATTAATTACAAGATACTTTATTACTTTTTACTTCATCGTGCATATTATAATCGAAAAAAAATCGATATGTTTGCGGAAGTGTGTGTTTTTAGATCGCAGGACGCTTAATGATTATTTCAATTTACCTTAGCCTACGTACAGCTGGATAAGAACAATTCGAAGGAGCTCACTCCAAAATAGAAACGTGTATTTTATGAGAACACCAATCAGATTTCCGGGCGTCATGCCCGCATTAATTATTAATAATGAAGTTGATATATTTTTTTTGATAGGCTATAAATTGTGGTTAATCACGACGAATAATTGCTATCTCTTCAGCACTTTCTGAATACTTAATTTATATTCACGGTGCCCTGCTGCCCAAGGTCTCCTACAACCGCTGAATCAAAATAAGAGCCCATTCCTTGACAAGGGCCAAGAGTAATTTTATTTTATTATTTGTTTAGTGTTCTGTCTGACGACAGGTCCATATGAACAGGATCCTTCCATCCTTTTCTCGGACTGGGACCTGTTCATATACGTTCTTGGCAGATGATCCAGAAGTGGTTTGCCATTGCCTTCTTCTGGGTGTGAATGGAGTAATTGTTGGGATGCCACGAAGAAACCGGGGAAGCCCCCGGAGGTAAACTCCGTGTTGCCTAGACCACGGACTTGCCCAACACAAGTTATAAATTCCGGCACCGCCGGGAATCGAACCCGAGACCCCAGGATTACAAGGCCAGCGTTCTAACAGCTAGACCACCTCATCTTATTATTATTTAGTGTTCTGGCTGACGA